CTCCGAGGTCGGTTAATTAGTACCAGATTCGTCTGGGAGGATAAAAGTGCTGACTTGGACATCGGCTGGCCACCGCAATTCATTGTATAGGCCACATACGCACTCATTACGCCACTACGATTCTGAATGGAAGTCGAGTGCGGGGGCGCATCCCTCAGACGGGATTGATTAACGCCAAAAACTTCAACTTTAACCACATAACGTTAGAAATCTTAGGTTTACAATGACAGCGTCTTCCCTGAGGGGAAAATTTTTCTACGAGAAAAGCTTCAGGATGTCGGCAAGTCGTCAAGGTACAGAAGAATGTTGGAAAAATACTTCTTCATGAGAGTTAGATGAATGCAAATGATTCAGTTTTTTTGTGAAGTGACTGTGTGTGATCCCAGCTGTTTCGAGATAAGGTGACTTTTCTTGGTGAGAACGCACACAAGCCAAGAATTAGTGGGATGTGTAGGACATGGATCCAGTGAGTTATTCTTTTAGCCTCAGTGGGCTGTCAAATGACTATATCTTCTTCTCGTGTACGACTTATTGTTAGATGAGCTACCGAAATCGTTATTCAAGGCAGAAACCAGAAGAGTAGAGCCTTTGCTCATTCAATTGAAGCGGCGAGAGTCACACATGACAGAATGGTTGCGACAATACTTACAAAGTATGTTTTTGGTGGAACAGTGTCCTAAAATTGACGTTTTCAGACACTGACCCATCCCCTTTTTGGAATGCCCACTACACTCGACTTTCATTCACAATCCTAGTATAACGCCTGTACAATGAATTCGTCAACAAAGAGCCTGATATCCGGATTCCTCCTTCAGAAGTCTATGTCCCGGACATGGATGCACATTTTACGTCCAGAATACATATTTGACTTCCAAATAATGGCTGATTAAAAAAGGCAGACATGAAAGGGAATTCGTCGAATTTCGACTGTTTCGCACTGTAACATCTTTACCCATCTATCCACATAATTACATATTTCTAGATTGATTACAGGTAAATTATCTCTAAACAGGTTGTGATTCTGTGAATACCCATCGGGAAATCATACAGAAAGGAAAGTTTATGAGACACAAGTGTGACAAAATTTGTGTTGAACGATTAGAGAATGATTTGTTGTTGAAGTTTGATCTCAGCAATTACCTTTTAGGCACAAATTGAAACGGCTTGGCGAAAATCAAAAAAATGATCGATTCAGAAAAGTGAAAGATGAATTCCATTGGAATCAGCGGGATCTTCGAACGATTCTGAGCCCATCGTCGCTAGGGGTATCTTTGCAACCATGAGCTAATGAGTTTAGCAAAAGGATTCCAAGAGTTTAAGACATCTCTGTGAAATGAAAGGGATCGACCCTATCTAACAGGAGATGGATTAATGCTGTTCTCCTCCACGATCCCCTCCCCACCTAATGCCTTAATAAGTCCTTGATGTCGCAGATTTGGGCGTAGATGAAGTAGTGGGAAGTGGCGCACTTCTCACAAGCTTGCTCACAAGTTTCGATACCCGCTTAGGCCAACCAAGCTCACCATCACTCCAGGGTCGTTTAATTCGTACCAGACTCGTCTGAAAGGAAAAAAGCAGCGACTTGCTCATCGGCCTGCTACCGCAAATCACTGTATGGGCCACATAAGCATTCAATGCGCCACTACGATTCTGAACGGGAGCCGAACGCGGGAGCGCATCCCCAGAACAGGATTGAATAACGCCGAAGACTTTATCCTTTATAATTCCAGAAGCCCGGCTATGAGCCACTAGCTGCTTCGAAATGACGGCAGTTCGAGAAAATGGGAGAGATGTAAAGGACAATAAAGGCATTCCTGAGTCATGGTATCATATCAAGAAGCCGAAAACAAGAACACCAGAATGGCAATGTTTACGGCATGAAATGAGCTGTAACTGATGTGTTGTTGACGAACCGTCACGTAGCAGCAATACGATGCTGCCGAATGTCTCGACCGCAATGAATGTCCGCCCAAAATGGCTGGCTGCTGGTGTGGATGGGCAAAACCTGTTACTAACGTTTCGTGGCCTTTCGTGACGCTTCAACTGTACGAAGAAATGTGATTATACGAAAAGTCGGTCGAACCTCTTAATCGACCACCGCCGATTCCTGAACCTACAGAACAAGTTATGGGTTAATTTACCCGTGGAATATAAAGTTACCGATCATTCTCTGACGCTTTTGATCCCACGGTTTATGCCGACGGAGAGTGTGGTTTACTGAAGTAAGGGGTCAATCGTTTACTATTTAGTTAAGCAGTATGGTTCCGGCAATCGCTTGGATGCCCAGGTAGGCACGTCTACCCTGTTTTTCGACTATATCGGTTTTGAGCCGCTCAAAAGTCAGCCCAATACCTGGACCCAGTAGATTTTAATTGTGCTGGAGCTTCAAATTCAGTGTGAGAAGTAAATGTTACAAAAGAAGTTATCAAGAACGCAGAATACAACCATTCTACTCTAGACGAAGCTCCAATAGTAGATCTCAATCACTGAATTGTCTCTGCCAAAGACGATGAGGATCCTTGGTCGGAAGGGGAGGGAGAGGGAGGCTGGCAGGAGTGAACTCCCTTTTCCGGTTTGTTGAGTTCACTTGCATCTTCTGCCCTCGGGTACACATACACATGCACGTGGTGGATTTGCGGGAGCAGTTGATATCGTACAGATGGGCTCAGTCAGGTATTTGCTTTGGAGTGGCTATAAGGAAAACGAGAAGCCGTTTGCGGTCGCCTCTAACAAGAAAAAAGTCCCCCGCTCACTCAGGGACAGCGTATTCAACTAACTACCTCGTTACTTCCGAGATAGAGTATACGTACAGCTATGTGTGCATCCATATCAGCGGAGTGGATCCCGTTCCTCTAAACGAAAAGAACTCAAAAAGGTGCGAAAGGATCCCATAGAGTAAAGCATAGTGGTAATCTGAACTTTGGATGCATAATCGCGAAAAGCGGATGTGAGCATTAATGGTTCTTCAGCGTGACCACAGGAAAATGTCAGCGCAAACTTCATCGACAGGTGGTTCGCCCAACATCTTCAGAATAAGCGCAGGTAGAAGGGGGGGGGGGGGGGGGGGCAGAGACAGCAAGTTATCAGGAGATGCTCTCACCAGGACACTGAAGAAGTGAAGAGTCGTGTGAGTTGCAGGAAACAGGCAGTTGCTTGCCTGGATATGAGCTTGAGCATAATGCTCAGGGACCAAAAGAAGATTCTGTGCGAAAAGAAAGCTAACACCGCTACGAATTCTCTGTTTGCAAGCCCAAGAAGACATGCTTTCGACTTCTGGGTCAGATCTTCCATGCCAAAGAGCAATGGAGAAGATCATCAAAATTTTCTACTCTGATACCTTTACCATCCATGGTTCTGAATATCGAAGAAGGATCGGATGTACAGAATATTCAGTCCCTTCTTCTAACGTCCCAATACGCCATTTGTTGGTAGAAGTTGTACAACACTTCCAGTGCCCACAGGATTAAAGCAGAATATCTTAGCTTTCACCACTTGTCTTGGGAACTCTTTCTCAGATCTCCACAACTGGCGGTCAACGCACAAATTACTCAGTTCGTAGAAAACCAGAATGACTGTAATTTGCTAATAGGCAATCTTTGCTTTGTTTGTTTCTTATTCACATGTTATGTATTTATTGTTCCGTGTATTCTGTTCTCTGCTTCATTATAACATCCGTACTTTGTACTTTGCAAAAAAGGATTTATAGTTTCCACTTTTTCCTCTGGGAAGCACTGGAAGTTTCTATGAAAATACTACAAAAGAAACTACTCACTTATATGCGCACAATACACCAGGAGATTTCATGATATTAACGAAATCGCAGTTTATTTTTGACTTTCTTGCTACGGGCTTTGAAGCGTTGGCACGAGCTCTGCACAGAACCGCTCAGAAGGGGCTTCAAAGCCAAATGCTTGGCACAAGTTTCAACAGGCCTCGGCACTGGAGAGGCTGAGGTCGAACTCGTAAAGAAGTGGATGTCGAAATTACGGACACAGTTTGGTCAATGCAGGCGGATATATCATAAGCACACAAGTGTGTCGTGCTCTTATTCAGAAGCCCCATGGGAACTTTCAGAAAATTCATCCCGCTCAACAATAAAGGATAAAGTCTTGGGGTGTTAATCAATCCCATCTGAGGGATGCACCCATGCATTCGACATCAACTCGGGATCGAAGTGGCGGATTGAATGCGCAAGTGGCCTATACAATGACTTCCGGTGGCCATTCCAATTAACCGAACCCAGAGGGATGGAAGGCTTGGTTGGCCTAGGCAGATATCGAGCTCGAATTCGAGCCCGTGACCATGCGCATGTGAAGTACGCCACTTGCAAACCTTGAATGCGTTTATATTGTGACAGCCTCAAATCGTCCATCACTGTGTACAACCTGTTCATTTATTTATTTTTTGTTTTCGAAATCATGACGTCTGCTGTTTTTTACCGATCGCACATTACAGCGTTCGGCTATTTTTGATTCTTTCAAATCGGACAACAAAGACAAGGGTCAGTGGAAACGCGAACAACAACGGTATGCTCACATTGTTAGCCCCTTCCCAGCAAAACTCCTTTGCCGATCCTTTTAGATTTTTATAAGTTTCTTTCTTATCAGACACTTTCACTTTACTATAGCCATACCCAACTTCTTAAGGAAATAGGGGTAAGGTTAGGTCAAAGTGAGTGAATAGTGCTGATATCGAAAAAAAACAGTATATTCCTAATTAGAGCCAAAATAAAAAATTGGAAGGCATACTTTCGGAAAAGGTTAATTGTACGGTGGGGATAATGAATTACTAACTCCGTAGTTCCCAGCCAATGACAGGAAGAAGATCCCAGAATCATCCCGATTACCGTAGTCGAAGTAGGCATCAAAATCTATATAGAAGTGCAGAAAAGATGTAGAAAGATATCTCAACGAGCCAGCTACAGTCCTAAATGCCCGAAGTGTCATATGGCACTGTTTACATTTTTGATATGTTTATTAAAAAAAAGATTTAGGTTCTTGTTAATGGCAATCTCCTTCAGAACACATAATACCGAGCCGATCCGCTGGATGAGGAACGAGATCGTCTCCGACACTGACCCTGCAAAGAAAATTTTAGAAAAGAGTTAGAAAAAGTGGTATGAAAAAGTTAGAGTTAGAAAAACAGTTATTGTTAGAAAAATTAGATTAAAATTAAAATTTAAAGTCAGATTCTTCTTACCTGAACCATCCCCAACCTTGAAACTTGGCAGAGATATTCTTGGCCGGCTTCCATTGCTCGTGTTTCCATTTGAATGTACGAATCATCCAATGTTTACTGGCACAGTCTTCGCCTTCGATCTTACGTAGAATACGGTATCATTGCTTTCGTTCTGGTAAAAATGAAAAAAAAAATCTTACCCTGACTTTCTTCATTACTTCCTTCTTTTTGAAAATCATTGGAAGTGATCGAACTTTGATTGCTGGCACCAGTACGACAGCTTTGAACTGTAATACAACAAACATAGTTTGGTTTCTTTTAAAAAGTCGCTACAGGGACCGACAGGAATGGTTAAGAAAGCAGTGCTGTCCGTTTATACTAGCCCTAGATATGGCATGAGAAATAAAAATTATTCGTGGCATGATCACGCCCATTTGATGACAATGTTGGACCCTGCCTACATCGAAATGCCTTCTAATTCTAGAGAAAGATTTACATAGTGGAACACATTGACCAAATTTTTACAACCAGATTTTTGGATAGCTAAGGCACAGTTCTTCGTGGGATGAACCTGTGATCCCTATGCATAACACTAGGAATACTGTCGTGTCGAGAAACGGCTTAGAAATGGCCTAAGAAGGGCCGCAAATGCGGCACAGCTGACGAACACACCCGATGCGGACGAGTTCTCATGCCATTATAGAGGACGTGGAGGATACACCAAATTCAAAAATGTTTATGGTGATGGTTGAGTAAGGTAAATGTACATCATCTGGCCCACGCATTTGAGTGTTTGGGGAACACGCTTCCAAATTCACATTGAGGTCGAATCATGTGCGCATCCCACGAGTTATAAAGATTTGTGTCAAATTCTTTATTCCTTCTTTTATCAGTGGCTTCCACATTAACCAATTCATGGGTATTCAAGACATCGCGCACAGGGCCTTCGAAATAGGAAGTCTATGAATGAAGCAACTGAAACCTCAAAAACTCACCTTTTTATCTGTTTTTGAATGCACCCATACGGTGATGTTACAGGGGAAGCTATCAGTGAGTACTAACAAGCAGCAAGTAAGAGCGACTAGTCGAAGAATTGCGGTCATTTTCGATGGAAGATCCACTAGGCCGATGACATTCTTCTGCACTTATATAGCACTGAAGTGATAAGTGAGGGCAAGCTGACATATTGCGCGAGAAAAACCAGCTGTGATGAGGAACCGACGGATGTGAATCTCCGGACGTTCCTTCCTGAACTGTGCAATGGGAATTGGGAAGAAAAAACTTCGCACCTTTTTTTTTCTATCCCTTGAATTGACGAGGATGAAAGCGAGATCTTCTGTGTCGCGCGACCGATGATGGACAGAAAAAGGCACTTTTCTCTTTCTCAATATCGTCGTGTTCATCTTTAAAAGGACACTTTCTCTGCTTTCACCTGGACATGCTTAAAATAACTTTAGTCCCGATTTTAATTCATAAGGACACGACGGACAGTTTTTCAGCAAGATGTCTGCGTGAGCCATGTGTATTGGAGCTGTAGGTCGTAGTAACCTACTGAGCCTTCCTATGAAAAAGAGCGGCGGGTAGTAAAGATATCCGGTTTGGGATGGGGATTGGGTCATTTTCCCGAGTATGTTCAGAAGATTGTCGGAATTGACTATCTTGACGCAGTACAGCGGAAAAAATGAAGGCGTCGACATAAAGCACTACAGAGTGGACTTTGACCGAATCGAATAGATCCAGGGTAGTTGAGGGTTTCAGATCATTTTCGGTTCCCTTCCTATCTTCCTCCCCTCTCATAAAGTTTATGCAGCTCAGGCGTAGACTGATTACCTGGAATAAAACAAAAGGCGGCCTATCAATCAAAAAAAAGACGAATGAAGCAGCCGTGGACTGGTAGAACAGGACCTTTGCTTTTTTTCATTTTCCTGGATCGTGCGAGAACAACGGGCGAGTTTCCGTTCACATACTGATATAACTTCGAATCCAGCGACATCACTGCTTTCCCTGTTGGTCGTCACTTTCACCGAGATCATCAGAGCTGAGGGGCGTGAGGGATCATTATGAATCAGACTGAGGGATCATGGCGACTTTCTTCGCAAGAATGATACACAGAAGGCCCTTACATCACCATATCAGCATACGTACCTAGTTAGAGAGATAGTTCTTTTTCGAGGCTGCTCTAATTGACCCCCAGGCAGCCTGGCGTGTTAATAGAACACGGGAAGTGTGTTCAATAATCTAACAAAACACTTAAAAATTCCATTCCACCTCAAAATATGGCAGAAACTTTGAAATGGAACTTTTACCTTCAACGACCTCCGAGTAGCTGGTCGCAAATATGGCATTCGTTGAGGCCGTAGGATCTGCTGGTACGTGATCAGCTGAACATGTTCTTTTACTAATCCCTCTGACAAATCTTTCAAGGTTATTTGATTGGAACCGATCATTTGCTAACTAAGGGATACGGCTTTCGAGAATTTTTCGAAAGTTGTTTTTCTTCTGCTCAAAGATAGGAGTGGTCCACAGTCTTGAAATGCCATCGGAAAGGAAAAATACAAAAACGACGATCTTCCTGGTTTATATGATTGGAACTGTTTATAGTTTGTCGCGTGCCAAATAGTGCCGCTACCGGAAACCAGGGAGACGGGCATTAGGAACGATTTTGAGCAATCGTTTCGCCGCACGCGGCTGTCGCGAACCACTCATTCCCAGTTACAGCTCTAGCGTTCTTCATACAGCTCAATCGATATGCGATCATTATTTCATGTATAATTCTACTATTAGTACTTTCGTTCTTAAATTTCTTACCGACTGCTGCATGCTGCTACATTCCTTTGCGCGCGCCGTCCCTCTCACCGCGACGCGACAATTTCGTTCCTACTGCACCGTTCCGGAAAAACCTCCCTCGGGAACCGGACCATGGACTTTTGCAGTTGTGGTAGGTAGCCCAGCTGGTTCAGTGGTTATGCAAAATGTTGATTTGACGTTACAATGGATCAGATCTTCAGCTTTATTACTGATTAGTCTTCTCAATATAAATGCCTTTTACTTCACAATAAATTTGTAGATCATCTAAAACCTACAGAAGGTTGTATAGTAAGGTTAGTCAGCAAACAGTACAAAACAAATGATATCGGCAGTCGGAATGTGTTTGTTTCAGGATGTCAACGTAAGAGCCATGGCAAATAAAACTTCAGGAA